ATATAAGGCAAGAGGAAGACCAAGGAAACGGTGGATTGACGGGGTCTCCGAAACCTGCCAAAAGCATGGCCTCAGAACATCAGATGCTGCCCGCCTTGCTTATGACAGGAACTTGCATCTCCCCACAACGCTTAGCGGCATACGTGGAAGGAAAAAGTAAAGTAAAAGTAAGTAGGTGCCCTAATGATAACTTTACGGTTTAAAGGGCCTTACAGTTACCGGGATTCGTACACTTGGGTTTCGAAAACTTGATGTGTAACTATGTGGGCCACAATAATTGAGGGCGGACACCGAGTCAGCATTTTTTTCCTTCTTCTTCTTCTTCTTCTTCTTCTTCTTCTTCTTTTTCTTCTTCTTCTTCTTCTTCTTCTTCTTCTTCTTCTTCTTCTTCTTCTTCTTCTTCTTCTTCTTCTTCTTCTTCTTCTTTTTCTTCTTCTTCTTTCTTCTTTTTCTTCTTTTTCTTCTTTTTTTCTCCTCATCCTCCCGTTCTTCCTCATCAGTTTCTTATTTATCCTTAAGCTCATTTAGCCACAGAGCCGATACTGAATTAGTAGTAGAAGGAAAAGGCGGAATACAAAAACAAACACACACAAAGGGAGAGGGGATCGGGTGAATCAGTTGTATGGGAGGCAATATTATAAATGAGCTCTTGTAGGGTATAGAAGTAGTTCTTTTATCATTGAGCACTCCCGAGAGTCCCTCCCACGTGTACATGTCCATATTTGTTACAACTGATGTGTCTATGTGTTTTTGTGTATTAAAATTTCAGTGCATTTCTTCTACTGATGTTGAAAAGAACCTGGGTTTTCGTGCTGTTTCTCTGTGTTATCTTGTCTATGCATGAAGACCTCTCAATTGCCCTCCGATGGAGTGTCTATGTTCCTTTCTGTGAGCTGTACATGCTCAACCTGTCATATTAACTTTTCCTGATCGGCACACGTTCACGTCAGTCCGCGATGAAAGGCTGCGCTTGTTGGCATAGATGACAAACAACAATGAAATGTTTAGTGATAAGCTTTTGTCGATGTCAGCCCCTGCCATCTTGTCTTACCCACTCTGCTGAAACCAATTGATTATTAAACTAAAATTAAACAGTATGTGAAACCGCTTATAGAATTTGTAGAGACGGAAAGTAAGTAGGTGGTTAGTGGTATCGTTATTGTTTGACTAAAGCGGCACTGTTGATTTTTGATGACCTCTTTGTCCTTGATTCTTGGGTCCTTCTTTGGTTTTTTTATTCCTAGTGGATTAATTGGCGGATGACCCCTCGTCTTTGTTTCTTTTCTTTAGCCGTTCTTCTCATCTATATGTTATATATGTCATTATGACTCTTGGTTCGTTGCTTAGTTGGTGTTTAGTTAGTTGGTCCTTGGTTGGTTGTTCCTTAGTAAGTTGATTGATCTGACCTTGGTTTATTGGTTCTTGATTTTGTCCCTTACTTGGTTAACTGGTCGACTTTTGGTTGGTTGATTGACTGGCTACCTGGTTAGGAAACATTTATATGAAGTTAAGTGTGCATACTGTAACTAATTTACCTGGAATCTGTGGTTGGCTATATTAGGTCGTGGTCAACAAGAAATACACTGGTCTCCTGCATATTGATGAGCTCGCCATGTGGAGAATGGACATTTCCGTGCTAGTCCTCTATCACCGTCTGACTTTTGCAGTGCCGCAGAAGACCACATTATTACCTCATAGCAAACAGCATTAAACTATTTATCCTCATTTGCTAAGACTAGTGTAGAAATCCTAAACCTCTCCGACTTGTGAGACGATTATTTCTATCAATGATTGTTCCGCATCCACGATATTTCTATCAATGATTACTGTGTTTAGCACACGATATTTCATATCTGATACTGTCCGCATCCACGATATTTCTACAATGATACTGTTGTCAGCATCCACTATTTCTAGTGATACTGGTGACGTCCGTGGTATTTCTTGTGAGACCGCATCCACGATATTTCTATCAGTGAGACTGTTGTCCGCATCGACCATTTCTACAGTGAGACTGGTTTCCACTATATCAGTGAGACTGGTGTCCGCATCCACGATATTTCACGATATCCACGACATTTCTATCAATGATACTGGGTGTCCCGCACTGGTGTCCTCCACGATATTTCTATCAGTGATACTGGTGTCCGCATCCACGATATTTCTATCAGTGAGACTGTTGTCCGCATCCACGATATTTCTATCAGTGAGACTGGTGTCCGCATCCACGATATTTCTATCAATGATACTGGTGTCCGCATCCACGACATTTCTATTCGTGAGACTGGTGTCCGCGTCCGTGGTATTTCTATTAATGAGACGTGTCGGATCCGCGATATTTCTATTAGTGAGACTGATGTTTAGATCCACGATATTTCTGTTAGTGAGACTGGTGTAGGATCAGCGATATTTATATTAGTAATGAGACTGGTGTTCAGATCCACGGTATTTCTATTAGTAATGAGACTGGTGTTCAGATCCACGATATTTCTATTAGTAATGAGACTGGTGTTCAGATCCACAATATTTTTATTAGTAATGAGACTGGTGTTCGGATCCACGATATTTCTGTTAGTGAGACTGGTGTTTTAACCAAGATAACCTAGCCAGAGAGGGGTGTTCGGATAGGCGATATTTTTATTAGTAATTAGACCGGTGTTCAGATCCACGATATTTTTATTAGTAATTAGACTGGTGTTCAGATCCAGGATATTTTTATTAGTAATTAGACTGGTGTTCGGATCCACGATATTTTTATTAGTAATTAGACTTATTGTTTAGATCCACGATCTTTTGCTTTAGTAATTTAAATATCCATGAGTGTTCGGACCAGAATATTTTTATTAGTAATTAGACTGGTGTTCGGATCCACGATACCTTTTATTAATTAATTAGACCGGTGCTCAGATAGCAGGATATTTTCAGTAGACATTAACGGTGTTTTGAAGTTATTATCATTAGATAATACAGGACATGTGTTCGGATCCACTATTTTCTGTTAGTGACAAGTAAGAAATGTTTAACCAAACTATACTAAGATATATATTTTATCAGGCAATATCATATAGATAAATATGAATATGTATATATATATATATATCAATATATTTTATATATATGCAGAATGTATGACATATATATATATATGTATGTATATATGTATATATATATATATATATATATATATATATACAGATATATTATATAGACTATATATATGTGATAGGACTTATGTAGGTTGTGATTGAATCTGTGACAGCGACTTTCAATCATATTGATTATATATTCTTTTGTGACTTAAGCAATATCCCATAGATTATGCAGAATTTGCGACAGCGACTTTCATGATTAGAAATCAGAAGAATGTTTGACACTGCAATTTTCCTATAGAGATTGCAGAATATTAGCAGCGACTAGCAATTATTAAATTGTACAGAATGGTTGACAGCAATTTCATGATTTGCAGAAGTGTATTAGCGACTATCAATGATAATACAGGACTGTGACAGCGAAAATCATGTATATACAAGTTACAGCAAATTTTTATAAGAATCTGTGACTATCAATATTTTATACACAGAATGTTTGACTATTCATTAGATAAAGCTGAATCTGTGACAGCGACTATCAGTCATTAGATTATACAGAATCTTTGACAGCGACTATCAATCATTAGATTATGCAGAATCTGGGACAGTGACTATCAGTCATTAGATTATACAGAATGTTTGACAGCAATTTTCATTAGATTATACAGAATCTGTGACAGCGACTTTCAATCATTAGATTATACAGAATGTTTGACAGCAATTTTCATTAGATTATACAGAATCTGTGACAGCGACTTTCAATCATTAGATTATACAGAATGTTTGACTGCAATTTTCATTAGATTATGCAAAATCTGTGACAGCGACTATCAATCATTGATTATGAAGAATCTGTGACAGCGACTATCAATCATTAGATTATGCAGAATGTTTGACAGCAATTTTCATTAGATTATACAGAATCTGTGACAGCGACTTTCAATCATTAGATTATACAGAATGTTTGACTGCAATTTTCATTAGATTATGCAAAATCTGTGACAACGACTATCAATCATTGATTATGAAGAATCTGTGACAGCGACTATCAATCATTAGATTATGCAGAATCTGTGACAGCAACTATCAATCATTAGATTATGCAGAATCTGTGACAGCGACTATCAATCATTAGATTATACAGAATCTGTGACAGCGACTATCAATCATTAGATTATGCAGAATCTGTGACAGCGACTATCAATCATTAGATTATGCAGAATCTGTGACAGCGACTGTCAATCATTAGATTATACAGAATGTTTGACAGCAATTTTCATTAGATTATGCAGAATCTGCGACAGCGACTATCAATCATTAGTTTATACAGAATGTTTGACAGCAATTTTCATTAGATTATGCGACAGCGACTGTCACTAGATGATGCAAATTTCTGTGACAGCAACTATCAGTAGATGATGTCGAATCTGCGACAGCAACTATCAGTAGATGATGTCGAATCTGTGACATGGACTATCACTAGATGGTATATAATTATTGACAGCAACTATCAATAGATGATGCAGAATCAGGGACAGAATCTATCATTAGATAACACAGAACCGATAGTGACATCTGTAAAAGATATTCTGAGAAAGCCGTATGTAAGACTGTCCTAGAGAAGAGTAGCTGAAAGCGCGCCGTGGATGTGTCATTTTCACTTATAACCTTATCCTGAAAGCTGTCAGGCTGCGTACAACATTTATAACATTCTAAAATATCAGACGAACTCTTTTACCAGTCTTTGCAGAAGGTAAAAGCTAGCTGGAGACCAAGCATTCCCTTGAAGACTCACGTAGTCTAACTGTCTAGAGATAATTAGCAAATGAATTTTAAATTGCATCTGTATTGTGTACACTGTAGGTGGTGTGGCGGAAAGTCAAAGAAGACGAGTTCCTGACTATAGGCAAGATGGTATGGAGCAAGGATCCCCGGATACTGGTGGAGTATGCCATCAAAGAGAACGGGGTGACATCCTGGGATCTGCTGCTGAGAAATGCCCAGTATAACGACGCTGGAATTTACGAATGTCAAGTCACGTCATCGGAGAAGATCGCCTGGAACGTGGAGTTAAAGGTCATAGGTCAGTCAGCCAACGTGTATGTTGTAATGTTCTGATCTACTTTCATGCACTAGGATAGGGATGGGGAGGGAGGGAAAAGGTGTGCAAAGATCGAAGACGGATAGCTTTATCTACATGTCTGAAGATTTACCTATTATTTGGGGGGAGGGAGGAGGAGGACGGAGAGATGCACACGTAGATAGAGAGCGATACAAACTGACAGACTGATTGTTTTATTGATTGATTGATTGATTGATTGAATGTGATCATTTCAATCATTTAATTTCAGACCCAGTAACGACGAAACCAAAATCCCGTGTTCATAAACAGGTGACCCAGACTACACAAATCACCCAGAAAGTACTCCATACTGGTAAATACACTTGTCTTTATATTATATTATATTATATTATATTATATTATATTATATTATATTATATTATATTATATTATATTATATTATATTATATTATATTATATTATATTATACTTTATTATTATTTGCAGTGTTATATTTACCGTACCCTCCACCGAGAAGAAATTAGTCTATTAATTATGGCGAAATGTAAGACATAAAAGAAAAAGAAGAAGAAGAAGAAGCAAAGAAGAAGAAGAAGAAGAAGAAGAAGAAGAAGAAGAAGAAGAAGAAGAAGAAGAAGAAGAAGAAGAAGGGAAAGAAGAGGAGGATGAAGAAGAAAAATAAGAAGGAATAGGGAGATAGAAAGGGCCATAAGAGAGAGAGAGAGGAGAGAGAGAGAGAGAGAGAGAGAGAGAGAGAGAGAGAGAGAGAGAGAGAGAGAGAGAGAGAGAGAGTTAAGAGAAAACAGTAATTTCCGACGAGCTTAACTACAGTTGAGATCTATACAGCCTCATTCCCCATCCCACCCAGGTCATCCCTCAATTATGTGCGGTTATTCTTCAACCCTGCCTCATCAGCCTGAATATAAAACATATATGAAACCAATTACTCTTATACTTATGAAGCCAACCAGCCAGCCGCACAACCGGGGATCTACAATTATCGTAAATGATGATCTAGTGTTTTTGCCCATTTGTTTACCTGTATGGCTTAATTACGAAATGCCCCATATATATTTCACCTTTCATTTTGTTACCCCTAATGTGTTTGTTTCTTTTTTAAACTTAAGTGGTTATATTTTTCTCTGCATGCTTTAATTACTTCATTAGTTACACTGCCTGCGCTTAGCGATACATTTCTCTTGCGTTTATTTATGTGCTTCTGTTTTTCGACATAGTGTTTCTTAATCTGTATGCGATTTGCCACAGTGCTAAATTTGTACACTCCTTTAAAATATTACTTTCCCCCTCAGTTTTAATTATTTTCCGTTAGGAATATGTGTTTCTTTCTGTTACAAAATAATGATTAAAATAATTATTAAAGTGATTTGTGACAATGCTATGTGGTGCATGTCTTGAAAATAGTTTCATCTCACCTTTCGGTTATTTCCTTTGAGGTTGGCTATTTCTTGCTGGTAATAATTATTAAAGCAGGCCTTTATCTCTTCCTATTCAGTCTCATCTATTTAAAAGAAAGCAAGTTTCTATATATTACGTGCATTGAACAGTTAGCTACCATTGGTGTGGGACTGGTGTGGGATCTGCGATATTTCTATTAGTGAGACTGATGTCGGATCTAGGATATTTCTATTAGTGAGACTGATGTCGGATCTACGATATTTCTATTAGTGAGACTGATGTCGGATCTATGGTTTTTCTGTTAGTGAGACTGATGTCGGATCTATGGTTTTTCTGTTAGTGAGACTGATGTCGGATCTATGATATTTCTGTTAGTGAGACTGATGTCGGATCTATGGTTTTTCTGTTAGTGAGACTGATGTCGGATCTACGATATTTCTATTAGTGAGACTGATGTCGGATCTATGGTTTTTCTGTTAGTGAGACTGATGTCGGATCTATGGTTTTTCTGTTAGTGAGACTGATGTCGGATCTACGATATTTCTGTTAGTGAGACTGATGTCGGATATATGATATTTCTGTTAGTGAGACTGATGTCGGATCTATGGTTTTTCTGTTAGTGAGACTGATGTCGGATCTATGATATTTCTGTTAGTGAGACTGATGTCGGATCTATGGTTTTTCTGTTAGTGAGACTGATGTCGGATCTACGATATTTCTGTTAGTGAGACTGATGTCGGATCTATGGTTTTTCTGTTAGTGAGACTGATGTCGGATCTATGGTTTTTCTGTTAGTGAGACTGATGTCGGATCTACGATATTTCTGTTAGTGAGACTGATGTCGGATCTATGGTTTTTCTGTTAGTGAGACTGATGTCGGATCTACGATATTTCTGTTAGTGAGACTGATGTCGGATCTATGGTTTTTCTGTTAGTGAGACTGATGTCGGATCTATGGTTTTTCTATTAGTGAGACTGATGTCGGATCTATGATATTTCTGTTAGTGAGACTGATGTCGGATCTACGATATTTCTGTTAGTGAGACTGATGTCGGATCTATGGTTTTTCTGTTAGTGAGACTGATGTCGGATCTATGGTTTTTCTGTTAGTGAGACTGATGTCGGATCTACGATATTTCTGTTAGTGAGACTGATGTCGGATCTATGATATTTCTGTTAGTGAGACTGATGTCGGATCTACGATATTTCTATTACTGAGACTGATGTCGGATCTATGGTTTTTCTGTTAGTGAGACTGATGTCGGATCTATGATATTTCTGTTAGTGAGACTGATGTCGGATCTACGATATTTCTATTACTGAGACTGATGTCGGATCTATGGTTTTTCTGTTAGTGAGACTGATGTCGGATCTACGATATTTCTATTACTGAGACTGATGTCGGATCTATGGTTTTTCTGTTAGTGAGACTGATGTCGGATCTATGATATTTCTGTTAGTGAGACTGATGTCGGATCTACGATATTTCTATTACTGAGACTGATGTCGGATCTATGGTTTTTCTGTTAGTGAGACTGATGTCGGATCTACGATATTTCTATTACTGAGACTGATGTCGGATCTATGGTTTTTCTGTTAGTGAGACTGATGTCGGATCTACGATATTTCTATTACTGAGACTGATGTCGGATCTACGATATTTCTGTTAGTGAGACTGATGACGGATCTACGATATTTCTATTAGTGACGCTGACGTTAAAACTTAGTTGCATGCCATTTTGAGAACTTTGCAAACCAACACCAGAATATTGTTGGACGTTGTGTGATTTTACTAGATAGTTTTAGGTTTAGTAGTTTGATGCTACTTTATGAATGTTACGACGCTCATAACATTATCACAATCTACCAATTCGTCTGAAGCTAACCCTGCTGTATCGTTATTGTGAAACCACGTTTAGAACCCCTAAGATGCAGACGCTGTTGCGGCCATGCGTTTTGCAATTCTTTTAACTAATCAAATTAAATTATCAGTTGTTTTTTTTAATATTCAGCCTAATTATCTTTTAAAAGAAGTATGAACTTCCTATATGGGGTTTTGTGTATCTAACCCTTCCATTATGCGGATTTTTGGTATTCTTGCCTCCATACTCCTGTCAAACAGGGCTGGAGTAATCATTCAGAAGGGAGAAAAAAAGTGTAGGGGTAAGGGGAGAAAAAAGAGAGGGGGGGGGAGTACGCTGTCAAGGGAAGCGATGCACCGCATTGCTTTTTCATTGTCGGTTTGACCATGGGTAGGAGGACCATACGTAACCCTTTTCACCGGAGTCTCGTGTTTGGGGCGTCTCGCGGCCATCCTGTGGGTGCTCCAAAAATGTCACACACACACGCGCGCACACACACATACGCACGCACGCACCCACATACACACATACAGCTCGTAGGAATGAGCTGGGGAATAGAACACACACTTATAACTATGTATGTAAATATTGTTTAATTCCTTTTTTTAGTGCCTTAAAAGTGCTAGTGAGATACCGTGGTGGTAGAAAGTGATAAAATGGAGCTTAGTTTGAATAATGGGAAGACAGAGGTCATGGTGGCTTTCCAAGCTAAAGAATAGTGCCTAAATGAATAATAAAATTCAAATGCGTTATTTTAAGACAAGTACAGACATTTTAGTATCTTGGTACATGGACAACTTCTGTTGGAAGATATATCACAAATATAAAGAACAGAATAGGACAGGCCAAAACTGCCTTTTATCAAATGAAGAACATTTTGTGCAATAAATCCATGTCATCGGAGGTTAGGAAAAGAATTCCTTGAATGCTATATAGAGCCAGTTTCAACATACGGCTGTAAATCCGGGACAATTAATACACAAGTCGAACAATATCTTGAGGCCTCGGGGATGTGTTTTTACAGAAAATCCTTAGAATTCCTTGGATAACTTTAAAAACTCAAACGTTTTGAAAGAGGCAAATGTTCGTAGACAACTTATCACAAACAGAAAGTCAAAGTCATAATTTTTTGGTCATGTTATGACTAGAGGAAAACTGGAACATGTTGTGACCACTGGAAAGATCTGTGGCAAGAGAGACAGCGGAAGACAGTGCGAGAAGATTATTTGTCATGGCGTGGAGGGATGTCAGCAGAAGAACCGATACACTCAGCTTCTGATTGTAGAGAGGCATGATCGCCCACGCCCATCGGCAAAACACTTGATGATTCCTTCTTAGTTTGCCTTAATAGCTTCTATAAATTGTCAAATAAATGTTCAACACATTGTCAGGTTGTTCGGCCACATACACATGTAAACCATATTTCATTATTAGATTTATTTTAATACAATACTGCTTATCGATTTTAGTCAGCAAGTCAGTTTTTTTTTTTTTTTTTAATTTATATTAAAAAAAAAGGAAAGATCCCTCTCTACGTCTTAGGCGCATCGGGCATATGCGAAGAACACCCACATTTTTACAGACCAATCGGCACTAGGTGGGTAATGTGGTCAGCATTACGCCGGAGTCCGTAAGTACACACTCCTAAACATACACACGCAAACACGCGCACAGTCTTCACAACTTTAGCCACCTGGTCTCTTTGTAATAACTCTTTAGTAAGTCAACTAATGTAATGTTATTGACCCGAAAACACATAAACAACGGTTACATAGGCACATGTAGGGAGAGACATGTAGCTTTACACGTGTAAGGATGCAGTGTTACAATTTACATATACGGATACATGTTTAATGGGGGGGGGGGGGGGGTGTTATGACAAACATGTTGTAAGTATCCACGAGCAAAGAGGTACATAGCGGGATTCACGTGAAAGGAGAGGATGAACATATAAGGATATATATGCAAAGATATACATGTCATGATACATGTAAGGATATATATGCAAAGATATACATGTCATTATACATTAAGGATATATATGCAAAGATATACATGTCATGATACATGTAAAGATATATTTGCAAAGATATACATGTCATGATACACGTAAGGATATATTAGCAAAAATATACATGTCATGATACATGTAAGGATACACATGTAAAGATATACATGCCATGATACATGTAAGGATATATATGTAAAGATTTAAATGTCATGATACATGTAAGTATATATATGCAAAGATATACATGTCATGATAAATGTAAGGATATATATGCAAAGATATACATGTCATGATACCTATAAGGATATATATGCAAAGATATACATGCCATAATACATGTAAGGATATAATGTAAGGATACACATATAAAGATACACATATACTCACCACCTATGTAACCAAAACTAGTAATGCGGATACTACAAATAACATAGACAAAAATTGGGACTTTTTCAAGAACACACTGACGAACGCTGCAGTAAACACAGTTGGTTATGTACAAAAGCAGAAAAAGAAGTGGCTAAGCGACAACACTTGGTCAAAAATCCAAGAAAGGAAACAAGCAAAATTAACACTTTTATCCAAAAAAGACACATCTTCATACGAAAAATACAGCACGCTAGACAAAGAATTGAAATCAAATGCAAGGAAAGACAAACAGAACTTCATACACGACCTCGCCTCCGATGCTGAAACAGCTGCCAAGATTGGAAACAACAAAGCCGTATTCCATATTATGAAACAACTGTGCAATCACTCACCTACACTAAATACGCCCATTAAAGACAAGCAGGGTAAACTACTGCTATCCGACGACCAACAAACAAAGCGATGGGCAGAACATTTCAAGGAAATATTAAATAGACCAAATCCTGACATCATTCCCAATCTAGAAGAAGAAATTATTACACCGACACTAGTTGCCTCCAGCGAGTCATTCACAATAGAGGAGATTAAAACAGCTATTACAAAATTTAGAATAAACAAAGCTACCGGAGAGGACAACATCTCAGGGGAAATGCTCAAAGCAGCGGATGAAAACACCCTGCAACATTTGCTCCAGCTGATGGATGAAGTCTGGCAAAACGAATGCCCACCACAACAATGGAAAGATGGTGTAATCTTCAAATTACCTAAAAAAGGTGATTTGTTCGATTGTAACAACTGGAGAGGCATCACCCTGATTTCGATACCAGGGAAACTATTTTGTAGTATGCTGCTAGAAAGATTGAAAAAATCCATAGATGAAAGATTAAGGGAAGAACAAGCCGGTTTTAGATCCAAGCGGTCATGCATAGACCACATCTTTACTCTTAGAATAATTGTTGAAGATTCTACAGAATTCCAGTCGAAATTATTGATCACCTTTGTCGACTTCCAAAAAGCCTTCGACAGTATCCATCGTCCAACACTCTGGAAATTGCTTAACATCTATGGTTTCCCCATCAAATATATCAACATCATAAAATCTTTTTATAATGAAACATGATGCTGTGTAAGAACTGATTCCGTCAATTCTGACTGGTTCCCGGTGGAAACAGGAGTGAAGCAAGGCTGTGTCCTATCGCCGATGCTTTTTGGTATAGCAATCGACTGGGTCAAGCGCAAGTGCATAAATAACGCAAATTTAGGCATTACATGGGTTGACAAAATTCTGGAAGACCTAGACTTCGCCGACGACATAGCACTCCTGAGTTCAGAACACACAGACGCCCAAGAAAAAATCAATCGACTCCAGAATTTCTCAGAACAAATTGGACTCCAAATTAACACCGCAAAAACAAAAATTATAGACCTTACCAACAGTTCAGTTGATATCAGTCACGCTGAACAACAACAGCCTTGAAAAAGCCAGCAGTTTCACTTATCTAGGGAGCAAGATGTCATCTACAGGAGATACCGCACCAGAAATACCATTTAGAATAGCACTGGCATCTAGTGCCTTCAATAAACTGTCCAACATCTGGAAATCAAAGACACTTAGCAAACACACAAAACTCAAGATATTCAATTCTTGTGTGATTCCAGTACTAACCTATGGATGCGAGAGCTGGAAATCAACGAAAACTCTAGAAACAAAATTAGACAGTTTTGAAAATAAATGCCTTAGAAGAATACTAAATTTCAAATGGTCAGATTTCAGAACCAATACACAAATAAGGCAAGAATCCAGGCAAGAGTATGTGTCTAATTTTATACGAAAACGCCGCTGGAACTATGTCGGCCACGCCCTTAAAATGGATAAATCAAGACTTCCTTATCAAGCCCTCATTTGGACACCACAGGGGAAAAGATCTCGTGGAAGACCAAGGGAAACGTAGAACTATCATCAGGGAAGGCTCGCTCATGGGCCACTCAAACATCCATGACATACAACAGATTGCAACGAACCGCCATGCATGGAGAGTCATGACCTCTGCCCTATGTGCCGCACTCGACACAAGAGGAAAGACTAACTAACTAATATAAGGATGCGCGTAAATGGGAGCACATGTAAAGATTTACATGCAATGATACGCATGAAAGGGTATAGTCGCATTGCCCATGATGTGTGGCGTTGGTAGTGATGTCAATCCACAGCCTTCTGTCTCGTGTACTAACAATCTTCTATGAGACGATGTCAAACCATCCAGCACCTCTCTGACCGTAATTAGACTGTGCTGCAGTATTTCGATTGAGTAAATATCTAAAAATGCGAATACCACGGGGAATTAAATCATACGTTTAATGGAATCTGGTCGTAATGTTAGGTCCGACGAAGATAAAGAACGTTGTACATTATTATGTACTCAGACAATGGACTTTTTTTTGCCTTTCACCTTTGTCTAATATTTCAAATCTTTCCACAGACGACCAGAGACGACAATGGCGAAACAAGCTAGCGACTACAGGTATAGAAGGACATGTTATATGGCTGAAGTTACATTTGAATAGTTGTGGATATCTCCTCCTTCTCCGCCTCCTACTTCTCCACTTCTACTTATTCCTTTTACTTCTTCTTCTTTTTATTCTTCTTCTTCTTTCTTTCTTTCTTTCTTTCTTCTTTCTTTCTTTCTTTCTTTCTTTCTTTCTTTCTTTCTTTCTTTCTTTCTTTCTTTCTTTCTTTCTTTCTTTCTTTCTTTCTTTCTTTCTTTCTTCCTCTTCTTCTTTTTTTTAATTCTTCTGTTTTCTTCTTCTTGCTTTTTCTTCTTCTTCTTCTTCTTCTTCTTCTTCTTCTTCTTCTTCTTCTTCTTCTTCTTCTTCTTCTTCTTCTTCTTTGTCTCCTTCTTCTTTCCCCTCCTCCTCCTCCTAAATTCCAGGCTCTTGATGTACACTGCTGCAGATGTCTCCCGCTTCCATTCATTTCTGTGATTTCTTGTCTCCTTTAGAGTGTTGCCCCCCATTGTTTCAAGGTCTATCTGTATATTATCTCGCCACCGTCTTCTTTTGAGTTTAAAGTTTCTGTTTCTGTTATCTACCATCCTCTCTCATAATTGTGGATACACTTCAGTATTAAACTAAGGTTACACGTATTAGTTGTGGTAGTAGTAGGTAGTGTTAGTAAGTTGTATCAGTAGTAATAGTAGTAGTAGTAGTAGTAGTAGTAGTAGTAGTAGTAGTAGTAGTAGTAGTAGTAGTAGTAGTAGTAGTAGTAGTAGTAGTAGTAGTAGTAGTAGTAGTAGTAGTAGTGGTGGTGGTGGTGGTGGTGGAGGTGGTGGTAGTGGTAGTAGCATTAGTAGTAGTGTTTTGTTGTTGTTGTAATGAATTTCTGCAATCAGAAGTCATGTGGGGGGAAAAAATAGTGGTCCAGCGCTGGATTTGTGGCACATAGTCTTTTGTAAATATACAATGTCATCAGTCAATCTTCTCGCCAGCCCTCTTGCTGTCATGCCAGATTTTTTGGAGTTCAGCACCTGTGTTGGTAACCGGATGTATGTATTCTTACAAGATGGCCCATATGAATTATCTGCTTTTAATTGCATTTGACGCAGCGTGTTTTTCTTAAAATCTGCTTGATTTTTTCATCTCCTACGTGGTCCATTTGTTCCACTGGCGGTTTTCTCGGGACATCTTGCCTCTTAAATGTTGATTTAAGAATGTGAGTTTGTAACATTGTCCAGTTAAGAACTACTAGGACAGTGTCGGTTTGAATGTGTTACACATAATGAGCTGCCTTGCGGACATTACTATTTGAATATCTTAATCACTGTACAGTTGACATCTGAGGGGATTTGTCTTTTGGGATCGTTTTAAATGTCATTGTCTGTTCTGTCATCCTGCATGATCATACTTCCTATATATTTAATCCTCTTTTACTTGCTTCAGACGTGTATTGTTGGACTCTACGTGTAATAGGAGTTCTGCTAGCTTGCCTTGATTAAGTTAACAGATCATTTCTTCACACATACTTGTCCTTTTCATGTCCCTCATCGTAATAAACACACAATCAATTACAGTTTTATAATCTCAGGTGTTAAGAATACGAAAAACCGTGGGTGGGTGGGGGTCGACGTACTGGATATCACAGCTTCATCTAGAATCCTAGTGGACTAAACTGCCTACACAGTTGCATCTTATTCTCGATTTCCGGCCCCTGGCTTTTCCCGGGATATTTATTGATCCCTTCTCATGTGTCTCGGTCAGTCTATTGGTAAGCCATCGACCTGGCTGCTTCTAAATACGGAGATAGGTGATTTAATGTATTTGTGTAGTATTGTCTAATTTATGTATGTGCTGACGAAGGCTCCAAAGCCGCAACGTTTAGGTTCTGTTCGTGTTTGTTATATTGTAAGCTCGCTGATATACTTTTAGTTCTGGTTTATATCTTTCCAGGATATCAAGTGGAAAGTTATGAGCTAACTGTGTGTGGTATCAGTAAAGAAGCTCGAATGATATAGGTGGGTATTAGTCACCATTGGGTGAAAAACAGATAAACGGAGGACTGTGCCAGTCATGATGGATTAGTGTAAAGAAAATGTAAGAAAGGAACTTCCGATGAATAGATTTGCACAAATCATAGAAGGGAAGGGCATACTTCTACCTTTAACCCTGAAGATATTTAGCAGTCAAAATGTCTGCACGTCTGCAAGCCTGCCTGTCTGTAATTTAGTTCAAATGGCCTTATGTATTTTTACCTAAATGCCTGTGTCAGTCGCTCTGTAAATCTACTTATCGACCTATGTGTTTAAATGGCTATCGTTTTTGTGTAACGTCCCACCTATTTATCTAGCGCTCAGACTGCAAATCTATTATATATGAATATATCAACTACGAAAATAATAGCAGTAGTATCACTGCATATGTAAACTGCAGGGGTACTATTCTTTACAGAATACCAAAGAAGATCACCCCAGAGGGAGGAATTCTTCACTGCGGGCCAGCCAGTGCGACTGGTGTGCAACACGTCAGTGGTAAACCAGAGCCAAGCCAGCCCTGGTGGCACCGCCAAGATTGAATGGTACAAGGATGGAGAGAGTATCGAGTCCTACAAAAACGTGCTGGTAACAATGTAAGTCGCTCAATATTACTCAACTACATGCTGTATCGATTCTGAGACTTCCTTCACCGGCTAACTTGCATGCTTGCAGTGATTGCACAGAAATACAATTTTCCTCTGCGATCAAACAGTTTCTCGGCAACAGGAAGTCATAATCTCATCAGTTCATCGCCGGAAGAGGATTTGAATCATGCCGAAGAGTTTCTTAACTTACTTGTCCTCCCAGTGAAGATATTTTGCGACATACACTGCTCTGAATGTAGTTGTTAATCTGACGTAGTCATAACTTTCTATTTGAATTATTGACGTGTGTGTGTGTTTGTGTGCGTATGTGTGTGTGTTTGTGTGTTTCAACTATCTTATATTATATCACAGCTTTTCTTGTTGTTTGTACATGACATTTTGAATAGACATATAGTATTACTTTCATCTTTACCCATCTATGAAAGGTGAAGACAGGATTGCTTCGAGCAGAGTGGCAAGCATCACTGGAAAGGTCACGGGTAGTGAGCATACTTTAGATCTTTTTTTTTCAGGTCATAGCGGCGTGGTGGGAAATGGAAAGGCAGACAGAATTGTTGTATCTGCACCGCTAGGTCGTGAATTGATACATGACAAGGCAGATGTGGTCAGAGCCCTTCGGAAACAATAAACCAAGTCAGAAGAGAAACTAGATTATTATGGGCTGGAGAGAAAGATGCACCTGGGTGTGACTAGAGTGTTCGGCAGGCACACTACGCTCATAGGAAAGGCAAGACGGACATACAACTAGACTACGACTGGCACCACTAGTAATCGGACTCTGAGCTGGCTGCTGAGGATTGGGACAGAGCACGTATGGGAATGCCCTGAGTGCTGTGATGTCAATTATTAACTCAACTCAACTCTTTATCTATCTGCATGTATATCTATCCATTTAATATTCTTTCTGCCTGAACCTCAGCCAACTTATTGTTCCCTAGGTCTATCTGGTCCACAAGATCCGCAGATACGAAACAGCCATCTACTCATTCGTCTGTCTGTCTGTCTGCCTGTCTGCTAGTCTGTCTGTCTGCCTGTCTGTTAAAACCACACCTACAGCGACAAATATAAAAGCCGCGCTTTGTATGTGCGCAGTAATTGAATTTGTAGCCTGCGTTTCGACATGTACCTATTTCAACTTTTTCTTAACTTCCTCATTTGCCAGTGAGGATGTCGAGGGGGATACACAGTTCGGCTCCTGGCTCTTCTGGTCGCCTCGACCACAGACACTTGGTTGTTTGATGTTTTTGACTGCCATTTTAATATTCAAACTGTCTGTGTACATTCTATGTTGCTCCACCGGGTCTCTTTCTTGTATGTAATCAGTTGAGATCAAGTGGTGCATCGGGCATATGATGCTACACGCATATTGTATAGACCAATCGAATTTACGAAATATTTGTTTCAGTGGTAGTTCACGATTTTTGAAATACATTGAGATGAGCTGAGTTCAAAGACAGAGACTGAAGTTAATGAACGGGTCAAAACTGTCAACACTCCACTGTGTTGATTTGGGGCCGCATGGTTAGTGCAGTCAACCCAGACTAAGCAGATTACAGTTGAACTTCGCTTAACGAGCATAATTCGTCCCAGAATCATACTCGTTAAGCGAAATACTCGTTATGCGAAACCACTTTTCTCATGTAAATGAATGTAAAATACGATAATGTGGTCTATGTCGAAAAAATACTCACAAAATACTTTGTATAACGTTTATTCAAAGAAAACTATATACACATTGTTGAGGAGTGTGAATCATCTTCATCTTTTCTTCAAACACAGAACGAATCCACCTGGAATGCGAATTCGATTTGCTGGGGGGGTGAGTGTGGGGGGGTGGGGGGGGGGGGGCGGGGGGGGGGGGGGGGGGAATAGTCGAAATAATTATGATACATAACTAATTATTCTTTTACTAGAAAGATGTCCAGAGAGATTTGTTTTTGCCGACGCTTCAAAATTAAGCGAAAATGCGACACAGCATTGTCATCAAATAAATTTGCAGCACGCATAGCCACTTCTTTATTAGGATGATGCTTCTTAATGTAAGATGCAACAGTTACCCATGCTTTCAGCATTTCTCTTATTTCGCCAGAAGATTGTTGCTTTTCTGTCACCTCCTCCTCCTCTGACAAACTTATTTCCAAAACTTCTTGCTGTGAAACACAATGCAACTCCATAAGCTCTTGGGTGGTCAGCTCTTGGCTGTGCTCTTCCACAAGCTCTTCGACTTCACTGTTATCCACCTAAATTCCCATGATAGTGGCCAAAGACACAATCTCGTTGACTACAGATTCCACAGGTATTGTCTCGAACCCCTCAAAGTCACAAATCGACAAAGCTCTCCGGCCAAATCTTCTTCCAAGCAGAAGTTAGGGTTCTCTTAGTAACCCCTTACCCCGCCTTGTCGATCATCTTGAGGCAGGCAACGATGTGGAAGTGATTTTTCCAAAACTCTTTGAGAGTGAGGCTGGTCCCTTCAGGCACCTGAAAACAATGCTCGAAGAGTTCTTTAGTGTAGAGCTTCCTAAAGTTAGAAATAACTTGCTGGTCCATCGGCTGGAGTAACGGAGTGGGGTTGGAAGGCAGAAACTGGATCTTGATGAACTTAAATTCTTCAGGGAGGTCATCTTGTAGGCCTGGAGGATTCACATACATATATCACAATATAACACACTTGTGAGAAAATGTGTGGTCACAAGCGACACTACGGTGCTACTGGAACGAATGCTAAACACAGACTTATGTAACATGCGCACAATCCGGAACTTTCCCTCTCCTTGCCTCTCCTTATGCGAAACATCGCTCGTTAAGCGAATCATTCTTTTACAATTTATTTTGCTCGTTATGCGAATTACTCGTTATGAGAGGTGCTCGTTAAGCGAGGTTCTACTATAGTATGTTTATTATTGCCCCCCGACAAAACGCCTGTTATCTGCGGAATGATATACCTAAGTAGTAAAAACTCCGCCATTAGCTACACAGAAGTCAGTAGTATATATGTTTCCTTGCACCGGTATCAGTTGTATACTGAACAGATAAATGTTTCATTGTACCGGTATCAGTTGTATACTGAACAGATATATGTTTCCTTGCACCGGTATCAGTTGTATACTGAACAGATATATGTTTCCTTGTACAGGTATCAGTTGTATACTGAACAGATATATGTTTCCTTGCACCGGTATCAGTTGTATACTGAACAGATATATGTTTCCTTGCACCGGTATCAGTTGTATACTGAAGGGATATATGTTTCCTTGTACAGGTATCGGTTGTAAACTGAACAGATATATGTTTCCTTGCACCGGTATCAGTTGTATACTGAACAGATATATGTTTCCTTGTACAGGTATCGGTTGTAAACTGAACAGATATATGTTTCCTTGTACAGGTATTGGCTGTATACTGAACAGATATATGTTTCCTTGTACAGGTATCAGTTGTATACTGAACAGATATATGTTTCCTTGTACAGGTATTGGCTGTATACTGAACAGATATATGTTTCCTTGTACAGGTATCAGTTGTATACTGAACAGATATATGTTTCCTTGCACCGGTATCAGTTGTATACTGAACGGATATATGTTTCCTTGTACAGGTATCGGTTGTAAACTGAACAGATATATGTTTCCTTGCACCGGTATCAGTTGTATACTGAACAGATATATGTTTCCTTGTACAGGTATCGGTTGTAAACTGAACAGATATATGTTTCCTTGTACAGGTATCGGTTGTATACTGAACAGATATATGTTTCCTTGTACAGGTATCGGTTGTAAACTGAACAGATATATGTTTCCTTGTACAGGTATCGGTTGTAAACTGAACAGATATATGTTTCCTTGTACAGGTATCGGTTGTAAACTGAACAGATATATGTTTCCTTGCACCGGTATCAGTTGTATACTGAACAGATATATGTTTCCTTGCACCGGTATCAGTTGTATACTGAACAGATATATGTTTCCTTGTACAGGTATCGGTTGTAAACTGAACAGATATATGTTTCCTTGCACCGGTATCGGTTGTAAACTGAACAGATATATGTTTCCTTGCACAGGTATCAGTTGTAAACTGAACAGATATATGTTTCCTTGCACAGGTATTGGCTGTAAACTGAACAGATATATGTTTCATTGCACAGGTATCAATTACAAACTGAACAGGTGTACGTCAGCGAGCTTATCGTTGACAGGTCAAATCTAGCGGACTCAGGAGACTACCTGTGTCGTTTCAGCAACAGTGACTTAATCTTAGTCAGGGTATATGTGCTTCCAAGTAAGTAGCTTATTACCTAAAGTGTGCGTCTGAGCTTTCATATATCTGTGCCTTTGTTTTCATTATCATGGTCAACTGTTATGGTTTAGCGTTGCGATGAGGATGATTTCGCGGTTTATCGATCAATAGAATGTACTAACTATTTTCATTTGATATGTTATTTTAGTTAATATGGTCTTTTATTTGGCTCAGTTTAAATAATGGGAAGACAGAAGTAATGGTGGTAACAAAGAAACGAATTATTCCTAAATGTAATAAAAGTCGATGGTGTTATTTTAGGACAAGTGCAGAAATTTAAGTATCTGGGCAAATGGATAACATCAGATGGAAGTTGCATTACTGTGATAAGAAACAGAATAGGACAGGCAAAAACTGCATTTTATAAAATGAAAAACATCTTGTGAAATATATCCTTGTCTTTGAGAGTTAGAAAAAGAATTCTTGCTTGCTGCACATCCAGTTTTAACATCTGGCTGTGAATCCTGGACAATCGGCAGGCAGGCCTAACAATTTCTAGAGGCCTCAGAGTTGTGGTTTTACAGAAAAATGCTTAGAATACCTTGGACGGCCAAAAAGAGCTACCAAGAGGTTTTGAAAGAGGCGGGAGCCCGAAGACATCTTATCACAGACATCAGAAGGAGACAGTCATCATTTTTCGGCCATGTTATAAGAAGAGGAAAAATAGAACATTTTGTGACCACTGGAAAGATCTGTGGAAGGAGGGATAGAGAAAGACAACGAGAGAAGATGCTTGACAGTCTTGTTGCATGGCATAGAGGAGTGTCTGCACACGAACTGATACATGCTGCAGGAGATAGCAGATTGTGGAGAGGCATGATCGCCCACGCCAGTCAGCAAGGCACCTGATGATGATGATGATTATGTGGCTATCTTCTATTTATCACTTCTTTGTGATAAAATGATACTTTATAATCCAATTACTCAGTCTTCACTATTTTTAATTTGACACGATTATGACATATGTGCATGGTTGTACAATCTCTCAGCTGTAGAGTAGTGTCAGGCACTGGTTAGTGTTTCATTTGTCAGCTTCTATTTTACAACCATACCAGGGCGATTCTGACAATGGTGTCAGCTTTCAGCAAAGAAGGCCAGTACAGTGCCAGCATTCACCTGTTTGAAAGGTGTCGTCTCATGGTTACTTTAGTGAAACCATACAATACTGCTTATAGTGTTTAGTCTCGACCAATGCTCTTCAGTCGGTGGTCCGGGGTCATCTGGAGGAACTCGCAAAGGCCCAGGTGGGCCGCCAGCACTGTCAGGTTGGTAGTTTTTCTCTTCCAGGATTGGTGTCTGCGGGATTACCACACCAAGGATGAGAATCAAAAAGGTACAATTCTGAGTAAAACCAGGTGAACTGCATACAATTGTTATATTAGCGCACCTGGAAGTTAAATAACCTGTAGTCTAATTCTTGTCTGAAGAAAAAAAAAGGATTAAAACTCATATAGCCATGACTGTCAAGCCAACTGACTAGTGACATCACACGTACACAAACAAATCACTTTTTGGTACTACAACCATCGCAAATGAAAAAAGTATCTTCTTCGCCTGCACCTGTCAACTTTCTACAGTGAATAGGCGACTATTGTAGCCACTAGACTTGAACCGCAGATCTGCATGCATATTATTTCTGTTCCAGATACTACAATAAACACAGCTAACAAAGAGGACCAGTCACATTATCATGGTAAGTTAGCTAGCTACCAGGTCAACTTCTCAATAAATATAACCATGACTAGATTCGTGCCCTTCCCAGCATCTATTCTTCACTTCCCGACACACTGGCACCGTTCGGTGGTAATGGCGAACTACTAAACATAATATTTGCCTAGAAAAACAACAACTAACAAGAAATGCTGCGGTTGGTTCTGCTACGTCCTGTAAATGATACGCAGCTAACTTTTAAACATCAGTCCAGGGACACTTGAGGATATGGCTTGACTTACAAGGACTTCTGCTTGAGTAATCTGCAATACCAGCATCTTTAATTAGCGGTCTAGGGTCGGGCTTGAGTCTGCGCTCCTATCTAGAAATAACAGCAAGTCAGGCTGTGGCTGAGTTCATGGGTTACCGCAACAGAATGTGGTCAGTTGTTCACAGAACCTGGACATATCGCAACAGAATGTGGTCAGTTGTTCACAGAACCTGGACATATCGCAACAGAGTGTGGTCAGTTGTTCACAGAACCTGGACATATCGCAACAGAATGTGGTCAGTTGTTCACAGAACCTGGACATATCGCAACAGAATGTGGTCAGTTGTTCACAGAACCTGGACATATCGCAACAGAATGTGGTCAGTTGTTCACAGAACCTGGACATATCGCAACAGAATGTGGTCAGTTGTTCACAGAACCTGGACATATCGCAACAGAATGTGGTCAGTTGTTCACAGAACCTGGACATATCGCAACAGAATGTGGTCAGTTGTTCACAGAACCTGGACATATCGCAACAGAATGTGGTCAGTTGTTCACAGAACCTGGACATATCGCAACAGAATGTGGTCAGTTGTTCACAGAACCTGGACATATCGCAACAGAATGTGGTCAGTTGTTCACAGAACCTGGACATATCGCAACAGAATGTGGTCAGTTGTTCACAGAACCTGGACATATCGCAACAGAATGTGGTCAGTTGTTCACAGAACCTGGACATATCGCAACAGAATGTGGTCAGTTGTTCACAGAACCTGGACATCGCAACAGAATGTGGTCAGTTGTTCACAGAACCTGGACATATCGCAACAGAATGTGGTCAGTTGTTCACAGAACCTGGACATATCGCAACAGAATGTGGTCAGTTGTTCACAGAACCTGGACATATCGCAACAGAATGTGGTCAGTTGTTCACAGAACCTGGACATATCGCAACAGAATGTGGTCAGTTGTTCACAGAACCTGGACATATCGCAACAGAATGTGGTCAGTTGTTCACAGAACCTGGACATATCGCAACAGAATGTGGTCAGTTGTTCACAGAACCTGGACATATCGCAACAGAATGTGGTCAGTTGTTCACAGAACCTGGACACTCATGTCCCTCTAACCAGCGCCCCTCCCGTCACACCCCAACTCCCACCCCCTCCCATATTTTTTTTTCTAAATAAAGATCTCCTGTAATACGATATAATTTATATACTGTGCATGTCTTTCCCGTGTGGATTCCTGGGTCAAATAAGCCCGATGTGTAAAACTAGTGTGCAGGTAGAAATCAAGTTCTGAAACAAGACTTAATTCCAGGGACAGACGAACAACAAGAACTGGAGTTGACAGCTGGTAAAAGCAAAAAAAAAGAAGAAGATATACATAGCTAATGGAGGAGGGCGGGGGGAGACGGTGGGGGGGGGGGATCCCGGACCACATACACAATTATATTGTCGGGGGTTTCGGCCCCCTCCTACCCCCCTTTTCCCCCCCCCCACCCTTAAATGCTTTTCTGGTGATGGCACTCAAGGACCTGAGTTATTTTAACTACAATAATTGCTTATAAAATGAGTACAGTTGTAAGGGGAGGGGAGGGGTTGCTGAAGGGGTCAGAACAGACAACCATTTTTTTTTCCTAGGTGACGGGGAGGGCGTGGTTGCAAGGAGGGGGGGGGGCGACTGCTCAACATTTTCTTAACTGGGTGGGTAGCGTTCACACACCCCCTCTCTATACAATTTGTAATATGGGGATGGCTTTTACACATCTCCCCCCCCCCCCCCCCCCCCCAATGCTTTCTTCGTGGCGGCGCTCCTGCCTTAAAGGTAATAAAATACATGGGGTCAGGATAATTTTCATCTTCTTCTTCTTTCGCTCGCCCGAATTAGATTATCTATAACTGCAGTGCCGTTTATAGTATGAACTTCACTGTACTCTGTAATTTGTTTAGCGACCCGTAATATTCGGCACAACCGGTGTTTTTCTTAGGCAGTTCGGCACGAACCGGTGTTTCTTTTGGCCAGATCTTAGGCAGTTCGGCACGAACCGGTGTTTCTCTTGGCCAGATCTTAGGCAGTTCGGCACGAACTGATGTTTCTCTTGGCCAGATCTTACGTAGTTCGGCACGGACAGGTGTTTCTCTTGGTCAGATCTTAGGCAGTTCCGTACGAAAAGGGCATATTTTGGGGTGGGCCCTGAGAAGGGACACACTTTGGGTGTCGACGGTGGAGGGCCATGAAAAGAAGCCAAAGTTCCCATGTCTCCACTGACTCTTACCCTACTGCCAAAGTTCCCATGTCTTCACTGACCCTAACCCTACTGCCAAAGTTCCCATGTCTTCACTGACCCTAACCCTACTGCCAAAGTCTCCATGTCTCCACTGGCCCTAACCCTACTGCCTCCTACTCATCGGATACTATAAGACCTTCCGGAGGATTGCCTATACGTTTCCTCAAGGCTGGGCAGATTCCAAAAGGTTAGGTCAACCGAGACGCATTCGCTCCATCTGTGCTAGACTCTGCGAGGGACTGGTTACTGGCGGTTGATCTGCCGGGCCATGAAAGGTACCCCGAGTTAATCCGGAAGACCGGCCTGCGACCTGACATAGTTATCCACTCTGCGGAGAAACGGCAGCTCATCCTGATTGAGTTGGCCGTCCTGTATGAGTCGCGTATAGACGAGAGTCACACATATAAGCTCGAGAAATATTGTGACTTAGCAGCCGGTCTGAGGAGAAACGAGGCGTACACAGTACGGGTCTTTGCCGTCGAAGTAGGAGCGAGAGGCCTTGTCTCCACTTCACTCTACAATGTGGTTAAAGAACTAGGATTGCGCGGTAATGAACGGAAACGAACACTCAAACGGCTGGGCGAGGCAGCCGAAAGGGCCTCGAGCTGGCTGTGGACGCAACGAAACAACGTAGGGGACAGGCCTCGGTGAGCTGGTCCGGGTTTCTAGTGGAAAAGGGTTTCTCACCCTTTGAAAGTCCATCGTGTCGGAATTGTCTGCCAGTGATCCTCTGCCACCTGCTAACAAAAGTCCAACATGTGTCCG